GCAAGTGAAAGATCGATGGCGTAATCAACATGTTCTGTATACAGAAATTTTAACAATATATCAAAGATCATTTCGGTCATTTTCGGTGCTCCGTCCTTGTCGCATAGCTAAATTTTTTGGTAATTTGACTGGATTATTTCAAAAATTAATAAAAAACCCTGAACCACATGCTCCTGAGGTTGGGTTTAAGATTTATGAACAAGGCGACCAAAGATCACTGCGATAAAGAACAGATGCCAGTGATGTTAATGAGATGTATCCACACACACCGTCAGCAAAGGACAGATGCTAGTGATGTTACTGAGATGTATCCACACACTGTGCCTTGAAATGCTAAGCCCTTCGGTCAACATTTAGTATCCAAAAATAAACATTCACAGCTTCGACTGTCAGAATTTTGCGGGATCAACAATCATCTGTATACCTGGAGTTAATACCTGCTACCTGCAAGAATCCTGTCCCCTTGGAATACTGGAAGCAGCTGTAATTAACACTTTGACTCTCTAACTAAGTAATTGTCAACTTTTCCATTTGCTTTAATCAGTGTTTCATCGATTGGTGGTCAGCTTGTTGGCAATCTGAAGTTTCTCTAGCTCTATTACCGGCTTAACGGTTCTCCCGAAGAAGCCCATGGGAAGGAAGACTTAGCTGTTTCAAGATGAACTTAATTCGCAGTGAACTTAACTCGGTGAAACTTCATTTCGTTCCAAACGCTACCATTTCTAAACGACGACGAGGTATTTTATCAACCAGAAAGCAATATCCGCAATTCTCAAAAAAATTAAAATATATAAAATCGTACCAGCTGACAACGTTGGAATGCATTTTTCGTTTCTTGAAGTATATTAATAGCTACTTCTTCAGACAAAAATGTTTCGCCACCATAAGTCTCAACATTTAGCAACCGTGCCTGGATGTCTCTTTTCAGATCTTGCAATCTAAAATGCAGAATATTCTTTCGTACTCGGGTCCTGAAGTTAGTACTAGTCGCTGAAACACTAAGGCGCCAGCCAAAACAATGAAGTGTTCATAGCATGCTCCGAAAAGCAGAACAGAATAAAGTAAACATTGTACAGGAAGTAAATTAACGCGCATGGTTAATTTATTTCTTTCAAAAGAAAGAAAATCACCAACCCTCCGCTTTGAATCTGCTTCTTCTGGTGATTTTTTAACTCATAAAAGCGGCTCAAAATACCACCACACTGCTCTGTTAAAAACTGCTGCTCAATCCTGAAAAAAAAAGTAAAAATCAAATCACCAGTCGAAGAAAAGGAGAAAGTCCACTTACCGCAACAAAACGGATAATATTGATACTTGCGAATTGTTCTTTATCCGTCTTCTTGGATGATAAAGCTAATTTTTAAAAGAACCAAAAAAAAGTAAACTTACGCAGGGTAGCTTTCCAAATAACGTCCAAACACTGACCGCACCAATGTTTCCAAGAACTGAGGATCAGCTCCAGCAATTCGCGATGCCGTAAATTTTGATACCAATTTCTGTGTCCTGAGTTTCTATTTTTTTTTTAAATAGACTTAAAAAAAAACGAAGATCAATCTCCCCGTTACCGCCTATGAAAAGAGACGGTACTTCGAAAGCACAGTAATCCGTGCCAGCGCAGATGCCAAAAGCAACTGCCAATTTGCATAACTTTCAACGAGATGCTTTACCAAGAATTGTTCAGAAGCTAGCGGAATTTTTTTGTCAATCTGCTACAGCAAAAAAATTAAGTCAAATTAAAGATATCTGTTGTTAACACAACGAAAACTAAAGATTGTATATACCTTGAATATAAGTCATGTATTGTCGTCAAGTAAACCTCCAAATCACTTTCGGAATCACCAAGCTTCGCTGTAATTACTTCCTGAAATCTGTATTGTTCTATCATAGATCACGGCAGTCGCTTCATACTTCAGTGATGACACAAACCAACAGGAACTACTCTCACGAGTGGGAGCTTGCATCTCACTAACATCTGGAGATTCGAATGCAGTCTGACCAAGACGGCTTAAAGACACAAATGATCCGAAATCTCTAACAGATCTACAGCAGAAAGGTTCCCTTCCCAAACTGCGCTATATGAAAGTTCCGGAAGATGATAAGGTATTAACCAAAATAACATGTGTAGCGGAGATTTTAGGAAGCACTCTGTGTTTCATCCCTTAGCTGTGAAGACAGGCCAAATACCGTATGCGAGTAGGAGAGGGGAATCACCAATACAGTTTTCTATCCGCCATGTTTATGACGAACGTGTATTCGATCGTTAAAGATTAAAGAGAAAACAAGGCATAAAATCCCTAACAAAAACAATTCGAACTTTCAATGACAATATCGAAGAACGAGAACTATACAAAAAGAAAGAAGAAAAAAACCGGTCCAATTCTAATAAAAGCAGCAGCAAGTAGCTGATGCATGCGAACATGCCTAGAATCACATAACAAAGCAACTATTTACATTTCTCATGACAAAGTCATATAAAGACGATGATCAATGACATCTCGAAACGGCTAAACCTTGTCGAATGCCTCTGTTGAAAAAGAACTACTAGACTGGTAACTCCCTGAGGTGGGCAAATGCCGATAGTTCGGCCACAAACAATCTTAACTCTAATCAAATCAGGTGGAGAAGACGCCAGCTGCATAACTGGAGAGTAAAAGGAGGAATTAATAGCGAATCCAACAATTCCGAGCATGGAAGACACACGGCAACTCAAAGTCCACGATTCAACAACTCGCAAAATATACACTAAAATAACAAATATTTCTACGCCCTATTTTTTGCCGCAATTGCGAATTGAATCGTATAAAGTTACCTGGAGTTTGCCATGGAACAAGTTGAGGACCAATTTTGACATCACTTGATCGGGATTTGGAAATATTTCTCTCAGCATGGGTTGCGTTTTTTGACACAACGATAATATATCATCGAAAACATTATCGCCACGGAAAGCGTTGATTTGCATATGTTCCACAAAAGCATCCAAACACTGCGAATAGCCCTAAAATTTGGGCTGTTTTACCTGTGCGACATGCATTTTTTCTGAAATAATACAGAAATTAAGCACATCCCATACCAGCCAATTTTCAGCTAGATGGTGAAGGTTCAGTGAAAAGCCGCATTTAATTTTGCTTCCACTTGAATTAACTGTTCATTGTTCTCTTTTTAATTACTTACCCTAGCTGTTTCAGGTATCTGAACCTACAAATGATGTTCATAGGCCAGAATGCACCAGAAGAATGCTATCTTACTGCAAAATTTTCCATCATCCAACCAAAAAAGCGATGTCAGTTTTGCCTAATCCAAGAAGATTAACCCTCCTGTACTATCATCCCTTATGGAAAAACTTACAGGAAATTTCCTGTGTATAAAACACACTTAAATATGCCAATACTTTGTAAAATCCAGCATTTTCGAATAAAAATCAACTTATTTGAAATAAAACCAATACATTTCGCGGACAACGAGGTAAAAAAAAACAATTCTGCAACTAAGATAGGGGCAGTAGAGAGCAGAAGAAAAAAACAGAAGTAATTAGTTCAAACACAATTCTACAAAATTTTACTTGCTTAAAATGTGAAATAAATTTTAAAATCACAAAAACGAGATATTAATTATGATATGAGCACAAAAAATGTAAAATTCAATAAAAAACTTAGATGAATAGGAATACCCGTTGGATCATAATACATTCCTATTCAGCACTACAACTGGATCTCGTCTGTACAACGATTGTAATATTATTAAAATAAATAAATGAAACAAGAAAAATTTTTATAACAGACAATGGATTATAATTAAAATATTAGAAAAATAGATAAATTTAAGCAAATAAAGCAAAGGCTAATCAGACAACACTTCAAAATTGAACAGCACTTCGCTCTTTATAGCAAGAAGCTCGCAAAGGCAAAGAAGCTGGAACTCTCAAACTTTTTATTACCGATGAATTCAGACCTTTTACGGTGAATTAGCTTACTTTGAAATCAGCAAGGATTGCGGCAATTTCACGCATCCTGCGCCAGTTGCCCTGTCTGTGCGCTCGCACAAATTCTTCCAGCATCAGTCGCTCGATTTCGTCATATTTATGAGCAATTCGGATTTGAACATTGCTATATTTGCCTTTCGCCAATTCCTGGGCTATCGAGGATAATTTCTGGATCATTGCAGCTGATTCCAATAACTGGAAATTTCCTACACAGTACATAAGATAGAACAAATTTGCACATTTACTCATTCTAAGCTTTTTATTTTTGCATTTTTCTTGATTCTCAATTTTCACGGGTTAACTTTCATACCCTTACATACCCTTTTATGTGAAACCTTTCTATTAGAAGTTTCTTTTATATGTGAAATCTCTTTTGTTAAAAGTCAAACCTGCCTTATTCATTCTCCATAAGAGGTGGAGGCACTCGGAAATAGCCCGAATGGTGGCAGGTGCTAACAGCAAAACACTAGCTAACAAGGATGCCTCTTCCGGGGGTTTTTTTACAAATAAGCTAAGAACTTACTTGTGTATATTTACAACTAACTTTTCATAATTCATATGACTTGGACACAAATTTCATCCATACTATTGGTTTGCTCTGTTTAGGGGCCTAAAAGCGCTGTAAATCTAATCGCCATATACGATCTGACTGATTTATAATAAAACAAGTTTTAATGAGTACCCAACTTCATAAATAAGCGGCAAATTGTTATTGGTGGAAAACAAAAACAACAGAAATGCATTTACCCGATCCGGATCGGTGAAGATGTCTGAACTGAGTGGCTGATCAGCTAAAAATTCATCGAAATGCCTCATCAGTTGTAGAGCTTCGTTAGCGCGAGCTCGTGGCACATGAACGCTTTCCAGCTGATCGCCTAGGTGGACCACTTTGGTGGAGACTGTTTGCATTGTACTGTCCAACTGCTACAAAAACTCTACTGCTTCCATTTGATGTTGAAAATATTTTGGCAGAATCAAAGAAAACAAAGATCACCAAAATTTTTAGAAAAAAACAGTAGAAAAAGAGCCAAAATCAAATTCTATGAATAAAGATTAACAAATATGCAAAAAAAAAAAAAAAAATGGTAAAAAAGGCTGGAACCGAAGTGTTGCTGAACTTTTCCTGTGTGGAAGAAAGAAACACATAATGGCTCGAGTAACTGCAAAAAACCAGATGCTAGCAAGACTTACAGTGTTTTTTTTGCGAAAAGCTGCTTAAAAGTAAGGCGAAGAAAGCCTGATTCCCCAAAAAAAAAAAAAAAAAAAAAATGCT